TATGCTAGGCCACAAAACAAGTTTCAACAAATTTAAGAGGACAGAAATTATCTCAAGCATTTTCCCGATCACAATGGTATGAAACTATAAATCAACTACAGGAAGAACAATGGGAAAAGCACAAGCATATGGAGACTAAACAATGTACTACTAAAAATCCAATGGGTCAATGAAGAAGTCAAAAAGGAAATCAGAAAATACCTTGAGACAAATGAAAATGGAAACAAAACTTTCCAAAATCTATGGGATGCAACAAAAGCAGTTCTAAGAGGGAAGTTTATAGTGATACAAGCCTACCTCAAGAAACAAGAAAAATCTCAAAAAATCTAATTTCCCATCTAAAGGAATTAGAAAAAAAAAATGAAGCCCGAAGTCAGCAGGAACATGAAAATAATAAAGATCAGAGAGGAAATAAAATAGAGACAAAAACAGAAAAGATCAATGAAACCAAGAACTGTTTTTTTAAAAAAGATAAATAAAATTGATAAACGTTTAGCCATGGTCATCAAGAAGAAAAGAGAAAGGCCCCCAATAAACAAAGCAAGAAATGAAAGAACAACTGCTATCACAGAGATACAAAAATAATTATGACACTAGTATGAACAGTTATGTGCCAAAAAATTGGACAATCTAGAAGAAATGTACTAATTTCTAGAAACACACCTCCTGCTAAAACTGAAACAGGAAGAAATAGACAATCTACACAGACTGATCACTAGTAGAGATATTGAATTTGTAATAATAATTAAAAAAACCTCCCAACAAACCAAAGTCCAGGACTGAATGGCTTCACAGGGGTATTCTGCCAAACATATAAAGAAAAGCTAATACCCATCCTTCTTAAACTATTCCAAAAATTGAAGAGGACAGAACACTCCCAAATTCATTCCTTGAGTCTCCCACTACCCTGATACCAAAACCAGACAAGGATAGTACAAAAAAGGAAAATTACAGACTATTATATCTGATGAATATACATGCAAAAATCCTCAACAAAATATTAGGAAACCAAATTCAACAATATATAAAAAGGATCATACACCATGACCAAGTGGGATTTGTTCCAGGGATGTAAGGATGGTTCAATATTTATAAATCAATCAATCTGATATACCACATTAATAAAAGAAAGAATAAAAATCACATGATAATCTCAATACACACAGAAAAAGCATTTGACAAAATTCAACATCCATTCATGATAAAAACTCTCATCAAGGTTGTTATAGAGGTATCATATCTCAACATAATAAAGGACATTTATGACAAACCCACAGCTAACATCATACTCATTGGTGAAAAGCTGAAAGTATTTCCTCTAAAATCAGCAACAAGACAAAGATGTCCACTCTCACCACTTCCACTTAACATAGTATCAGAAGCCCTAGGCAAAGCAATCAGAGAGGAACAAGAAATAAAAGGCATCTAAACTGGAAGGGAAGAAGCAAAACTGTCACTATTTTCAGATGACATGATACTATACATAGAAAACCCTACAGTCTCCACCGAAAAAACTATTAGAACTAATAAGTGAATTCAGCAAAGTTGCATGACACAAGATTAATATACAGAAATCTGTTGGTTTTCTATATACTAATAATCAGAAAGAGAAAGCAAGAAAACAATCCCATTTAAAATTGCATCAAAAAGAATGAAATACATAGGAATAAACATAACCAAAAAGGTAAAAGACTTAAATTCTGAAAATTATAAAACCTTGATGAAGGAAATGGAAAGATATCCTGTTTTCCTGGATTCAAAGAATTGGTATTGTTAAAATGTCCATACTACCCAAAGCTATCTCCACAGTCAATGTAATTTCTATCAAAATACCCATGAAATTTTTATAGAACTAGAACAAATAATCCTAAAAATTATGTGGAACAACAAAAGACCCTAAATCGCCAAAGTAATCTTGAGAAACAAGAACAAGCTGGAGTTATCACACTTCCTGACTTCAGACTACTACAAAGCTACAGGAATAAAAACAGCATGATACTGGCACAGACACAAAGATTAACGGAACAGAATAGAGAGCCCAGAAATAAACCCACACACTTATGGTCAATTAATCTAAGACAAAGGAGGCAAGAATATACAATGGAGAAAAGACAGTCTTTTCAGTAAGTGGTGCTGGCAAAACTGTACAGCTACATGTAAAAAAATGAGACAAGAACATTTCCTCACACCATACACAAAAATAAAGTGGATTAAAGACCTAAATGTAAGACCTGAAATCATAAAACTCCTAAAAGAGAACATAGGCAGAACATTCTTTGACATAAATTGTAGCAATATTGTTTTTGGATCTGTCTCCTCAAGCAAAAGAAGTAAAAGCAAAAATAAACAAATGGGACCTAATTAAACTTAAAAGCTTTTGCACAGCAAAGACAACCATTGACAAAATGAAAGACAACCTATTGAATGGGAGAAAATATTTGCACATGCTATGATCAATAAGGGGTTACTATCCAAAATATATAACCAGCTCACATAACTCAATAACAAAAACAAACAACCCAACTAAAAAATGGGCAGAAGACCTGAATGACATTTTTCCAAAGAAGACATACAGATGGCCAACAGGCACATGAAAAGATGCACATTACTAATCATCAGAAAAATGCATATCAAATACACATGAAATATCACCTCACACCTGTCAGAATGGCTATCATCAGAAAGACCACAAATAACAAATGTTGGCAGGGATGCGGAGAAAAGGGAATCCTTATACATTATTGGCGAGAATAAATTTGTGCAGCCACTATGAAAAGCAGTATGGAGGTTCCTCAAAAAACTAAAAATAGAACTACCATATGATCCAGCAATAATTCCACTCATATATCTGAAGAAAATAAAACAAAATATACATTCACCCAATGTTCATAGCAGCATTATTTACAACAGCCAAGATTTGGAAGCAACCATCAACAGATGAATGTATAAAGAATATGTGAGGTATATATATATATATATATATATATATATATATATACACACACACACACATACAATGGATTATTACTCAGCCATAAAAAATAATAAAATTCTGCCATTTGCAATAACATGGATGGACCTAGAGGGTATTATGCCTAGTGAAATAAGTCAGACAAAGACAAATACTGGTTATAACTTACATGTGGAATCTAAAAAAATAAAAGAATTGAATGAATATAACAAAATGGAATCAGACTCAGAGATATAGAGAACAAACTAATGGTTACCAGTGGGGAGAGGGAAGAGGGGAGGAGTGAGATAGGGGTATGGGGTTAAGAGATGCAAACTACTATGTATCAAACAAATAAGCAACCAGGTTATATTGTACAGCACAGAGAAATATAGCCATTATTTTGTAATAACTTTAAATGGAGTATATAATCTGTAAAAATATTGAATCACTATGTTGTATAGTTGAAACTAGTATAATATTCTAAATCAACTATATTTCAATAAAAAAACAAAAGGAATGAAGGACTGACACATACTACAACATGGATAAACCTCAATAACATTATGCTGAGTGAAAGAAGCCAGATGTGAAATACCACATATTGTATGATTCCATTTGCATTAATGTATTAAATGTCCAGAAAAGGCAAATCTATAGAGACAGAAATTTTATTATTGATTGCCAGGGCTGGGGGTAGGAATGAGAAGTGCTTGCAAATGGGCATGAGGTATCTTTTTATAGTGATGGACATTTTCTAAAATTGGAATGTGGTGATAGTTACACAGCTCTGTAAATTTTCTAAAAAAATCATTGAGTTATATCCTTAAAGTGAGTGAATTTTATAGTATGTAAATTATACCTTACTAAAGCTGTTAAAAAATAGCTATGAAACTACCATGCAGTTTTATATGTAATTCTGACTTTTATACATCTTATAACTACAAGACTTTCATAAGATAGGGCAGCACTGATTCCCAAAGACAATATGGCAGAGGCTCCAAAAATTTTGAAAATCTATCTTAGCATTCTGGCTCTACGAATAGATGGGTCACATGGTATTATTGCCTGACACCTAATAGGCCTCAATAAATGTTTACTGGATGAACAATTAAACAATCTTTATAGTGTGATTTCCCCCCAAACGTATCATCTACCTGATAGATGAAACTCAGTTGATTAGGGCATTTTTTCTTAAGAAAACTGAAATAAATGAAATGCTGATATCCTCAGGGGAAAAGCTGATAAGAGCTTAGGTAGTCAGCATCAGTTAGGCTATAATGAGGTAAGATACTAACTCCTACATGCTACAGGCTCACTTGATTTAGTAGGGGTGGAGATGGAGGTGGGGAGTGGGAATGTCTGATCCACAGTCTTTCAGAGATCCAGGCTGACCAAGGTTTAACTGTACATCAACAGGAGTCATGGTAGACTAACAGAGATTGAAAAACTGTGTATGGGCTTTTCACTACCATTGCCCTTAAGTGACCCACCTCACTTCTACTAATATTTCATTTGCTCCCTAATTCCAAAGAGGGCTAGATATCCAGGGGAGTAAATGGAACATTTGGCAAGCAATGCAGTCTGCCACATTTGTCATCAGGGGACTTTGTCTCAGGATTCTTTTCCACAGCTAGAGATAACCTCCTTCTCCATCTATCCGATTAGGAACCACTGATCAAGAATTTAGAATAGTAAGACAGATAGCTAGTGGGAACCTGCTGTATAGCACAGGGAGCTCAGCTTGGTGCTCTGTGATGACCTAGATGGGTGGGATGCGGGGGTGGGGGGGGTGGGTGGGGGGGGGGGGGGGGGGGGGGGGGGGGGGGAGGTCCAAGAGGGAGAGGATATATGTATACATATAGCTGAGTCACTTCGTTGTACAGCAGAAACTAACACAACATTGTAAAGCAGTTATACTCCAATTTAAAAAAAAAGGAATTTAAAATAGATGAACTTCAGGTTCTTTGAAGCAAATTTTGAAGCAGGAGACAAATACCCTGCTTGGTATCCCTGAAGCTTTTTTTGGAGGAGATGGTTCTTGATTCACCTTTTTTTTGCCCAACACTGAGGATATCATCTGGTACATGGTAGCAGCTCACTGAGGTATGGAACTGAGTTTTGTCTCAGAGAAACAGATCAGGTGAAAGCCTACAGTCTGAGTACAAATATCTCCCATCTTCCCATGGTGTTCTTCAGTCACAACTTTTTTTTTTTTTGGTTGAAATTCCTTCAATTCAGTTAAATAGAAACAAGAAACCGTTAAATTCTGAGGGAAAAGGAGCAAGAACTGATGCAATGTAAACAATTACTTTTACTGTTTTATTACAACACAACTAACACCTCATCTAATAAAATTTATATTTGTAGTGTTTAACAGAAAATAAGCTCAATGCTTTAGAAGAATAGAAAGAAATGCATCAAGATTTATATTATTCAACCATGTGAAGGTATTTGGAGAAAATGTCTTATGAGGCTATTACCAATCTGCACTCCATTATTTATAGTATTTAGCCCCTTAGCTTCTGGCCTCTGTTCTTGCAATGTCAGTTTTATCTTTTTCAAATATTACCTTTAAAACGCAAGACCAAACTCCTTAATTCTGGCAATTTTGACTTTTCGTGTAACTTTTCATGCTTTTTTAAAAAATTTTTATTATACCAAGGTCACCAAATGAAGCTTTTGCTGCGTCAGAGCTAATTATTCTCTATTCTTTAGGCTGCACATATTTGCTAACAACTCTCCCACTACCTGGGATGCCACTTCTTTTCTTTTCTATCTACTGAAAGTTTGCTCATTGCTGAAGCTCAAAATGTGTCTTAACCCTACTGTGATACTCTCCCTGAATATTTCTGCTCACACTGATCTGAGCACCTGAAGCATCTAGGGTCTACAGCAGTCATCTATGCACCAAAAACTATCCAGAAGTCTTCATTGAAACTTTTTGAGTCTCTTTCTCCCAGCTAGAGTATGAGCTTCTTGAGAGACTGTATTTTATTACTTTATATCCCCATATATGGATTAACAGAGGACCCTCAAGAAATATTTATTGCATACCTACTCTGAGTTAGGCCTTGTAGAGGTATAGATGTGCTACTAGGTATTATATTTACTAGCTGAATTAATGTTTGAAGAATCTTTAAGATGCTATATTTTGGAATTTTTTATTGGGCTGGATTTTTTTAAAATGTTGCTCTTTCAAATATGTTTTAATATACATTATCCTCATTTATCAGTATTTCCTGAACTTTTATATTTTAGTTTTAGTGAAAATATCATTTTTGAAAGTATAAATGCTGGATTTCATTTTTGAGAATTTATCCTTACATTCATTACCTACTGATTCTGTTTCATACACCAATATTATGTTTTCCTTTGTTGTTAGCAGATCTGTCCCTGGATCTCCGACTCTACAAATATACACAAAACTTGGGTCCAAAGGTGATGATAATTTTCTCTTATATCTTTTAACAGCTGGATTGTCTATTATGCTAGGTAAGACAACATACATACAAAAATATTCATTTCCTCTGATAATTACAATAATATTACTGTGTTCCTCTAAATCCATATTAAAGCAACAAAAAACCACAGCTTCTTGGAGTATAAAATATTATTATTTTACTATTATTAATCTTACTACCTTTTTCCCTTTACCATTCAAAAATCCATTACTGATCTGCGAATAATGTTCTTTCTAAAAACACCCTCTGAAACTCTCTTCCTGCCACTCTTACATTATGCCAGCATTTTATCTGCTTTTCCTTTGACACTCCTTTAAACTAGCAAAAAAAAAAATCAGAAAAGTTTAACTCTTACATCTCTCACTGTGTCGTAAAATCCTTTGTCAAATACCCGATGTGCTTGAGAGGTTGTCCGTTTCTTTTTCGATCGAATTACACAATGTCTCGGCAGCCTGATTTATCACTTTGGTCCACGCTGTATCAGTTTGGTGATTCTTTGTACAGATTGATAACCAGAAAAAGTCTAAAGTAGGGCAATTCCAGACTAAATTGGCGCAGCCTTTTCCCATAAAGCAACTTAGTATCTCACAAAATTCCAGGGAGAATGAATGATAGAGAATGCACCAATAGGGAGTGGAGAATAGTGTTTTATCTAAGTTTGCAACCCAATCCTTGGGAGCCAGAGGTGGGAATTTTAAAATGGGGCTGTCCTTTCCTTGGAATTTTCTTAAAGTGGTATCGCTGCCTGATGATTTTAAAGTTTGCCAAAGATTGTCCAATCACTAGTTTGTATTAGAGGATTCCCCCCCCCTTTTTTAAAAGTCCTTTTTGATGGGGACTTTTTTTCTTTTTTTAAAGTCTTTGTTGAATTTGTTATAATATTGCTTCTGTTTTATGTTTTGGTTTTTTGGCCAGGAGGCCTGTGGTATCTTAGCTCCCCCACCAGGGATAGAACCCACACCCCCTGCACTGGAAAGGGAAGTCTTAACCACTGGACCGCCAGGGAAGTCCCTCCCCCTTGCTCTGAGGGAGGCAAATTGTGAAACTGACACTTGACAAATTTAGAGAACTTTTAAGAGTGGCCATAGGATAATATACTAATACGAAGAATCACATGGCTACTTTTGTGTCAGTTTCAGAGGGCAGAAGTTGTTTTAAGATGATTCATTTTTCATGATCAAATATCAGATGTCAAATTAATGCATTAAAATATTTCGTTTTTTAAGAAATGAAAACTAAGAGACTAACATTGATTACTTTTTAAAAATTGTTCTATCTATAGTTGCCTTATTGTATGTGTGACTCTTCAATATTAGGAGCAAATATATATTATTTGGGTTGATCTTTAATAACCGAAAGATTTTTGTTTTTACATAAACTGAAGATTTCCTCATTTTAAGTCTAGCAAAAAAGTTCTAAGTACTACAAATTCTTAAGTATTTGGAAACCTGTATAAAAGGTCTTAGAAGTACATGACATATACCATCCATACACTTCAGTAACTTCTGAAGACCAGGTTTACTAAATAGATAATTGGTAAGTATTTCATTATAACTCATACTTTGTTTTGAGATAGGTCTTATTTTTATTTAATATAACTCTGCTTTCTAGGTTATTTACCTCTAACAGTAATTAAATAAACCAACGTAAATCTATAAAGTCAGGATATCTTGACAATGAACTGCTACATTATAATCAACATCAAGCTTGCCAAAGAACAATAAATAACAGTAGTTTCATGAGAGGAAATTTTTTAAAAACTTCATTTCAGAAGAAAAGTTGTCATGTTAACAAGCAAGGTACTTAAAAAATATTTTTTTGCTGTTCCCTAACAATGCTTTTTTTTTTCTTTTTACCATCATAAAGGTCTCTTCCTTTGATGACTTCTTCTGCTGACATAGGAAATTCCGTCTTGAAGAAATATTTATTGATGGTCTACTCAGTCATGCTAGGAACTGCCAGAATATTTAACTTACAAAGTTGTTATTGTTGTTTTAACGATTGTTTCTCACAGCTGTTATTGTCGTTTTAACGATTGTTTCTCACAGCAGACCTACGGTATTTCAAGAGCAGAGACTAGGTTACTGCCTCACTCTTGGAACGAACCTGCCAGCGTGCAGTGACTTCTTTTATACTGGGCCTAAGCTCACTACTTGATTACTAACCTTGGCCATATTACATAAACCTACCTGACCTAAGTTTTTCATCCGTCAAACGAGTATAGTAATAGTACCTGTGTCATAGGATTGTTGTGAGGGTTGAGATAACCTATGCACAGATCTTAGAACGCTGCCTGGTATACAGTAAAGCGACTGGGTGTTATTACTGTTGTAATTTCTCAACGTATGCATTGAATGAGAGGACGAGTGCGTCAGTGAATGCATGAATGAAAGAAATGATCAGTTACTGACGGTCCCTGAGGCTGCAGCCGGCTAAGGTACCCCCTCAAAATTCTGAGCAAAAAGCTGATCTCAACAACAAACCCGGAAGCCGGAGCCGGAAGCAAAGACCGGGCCAAGGGCGGGGCCAAGTCGCACAGAAGCCACATTGTTGGCCAATAGGCACATCGCTTGGAAAACAAGCCTCTCGTGCGATCTATCATAAAAACCGCGAGAACGGTGGAGCATTATCGCGAGGTTCCGTCTTCCTCTTCTCCGCTCTGTCTTCCCCCAACCCTCTGAAGTGAGGGTTCCGCCCCGTCCCGCCCCGCGTCGTCCGCGCCCCGCCCCGTCCCCTCCCGGCGCCCCGCCCCGCCCGCCGAGTCCCGGCTTGCTGTCCAGCGACCCCTGCGCCCGGGAGCGCTGGCTCCGCTGGTCGAGGTGAGTGTGGCACTTCGCCTTTTCGGGTGGCTCACGTAGCAAGGCCCTCTGGCCCGACCCCCGGCCCTGAGGCCGGCTCTGGCAGAAGCGTCCGGGCTGCAGCGAGGGGACCCCGGCCCAAGCGGGCCCGCCCGGGCCTCGGGTCGCCACAGCTGCCGGGCCCTCCTCGCCCTCGGTGGTCGGAGAATCCCGATACCGGGTCTGTGAAATCCCTGCCACTGGGCTCACTGCTTCCAAACTCTAACAACCAGAGTGTTTCGTTAACTCGGGCAAAACGGCATGTGTTTTGCCTAAGACTTATGACAGCGTTCTTTTCAGTACTGAGAAAATAACCTTTAATAAATGCTTTTAATGTGCGGGTTTTAACTCATTAATCTACAATATTAGGAAATTGGAGTGGGTATTCCACTGACTTAAGTACGGAAGTCAATCTAAGGGACTCCTTTCCCTTAAAACACACCTGTTTTAAAATGTGTGGAATTTTCTTAAGATGGAAAGGTTAGTTTGCTTTAAATAATAATAGAGTTGATTGGTGTTTACCTGTCAGAAAACTGTTATGCAGGTGCAGTTGTATACAGCTAATATTAAGTATACCATTTGCTTTTAATCGTAGATAAGAGGTAGTGAAGGGAATATGTGTAAGAAAATTATGCTGGTAAAGGCTGTGCATTGCCAGTGAATGCATACGGAAAACCATTACCATTATTTATTATTGAAAGCTTTCAGATTTCATTTGTGTAGATTTCATCTCCCAAACTGCCTTCCTAGCAAGATACATTTTAACAGAGTGTAATGACGTTTTAAGGGCAGCCAAGCCCACCCATCAGGATTCAGCAGGATTAGAAGGAAAGCCATCAGGTTACACTGTATTCTCTTATTGGATCTTCCCATCAGGGAGTGTGGGTTTTGCTTTGTAGTCTTAGATTTGTATAAGCTTTGCCTACCACTTAAATAATAATAGGAAGAAGCACAGGCCCCACTGAAGTTCATGGAAGTCTGCCTTGTAGAGCAATGCACAGGCTTTGGAGTTGAACACCTGGGTTGGTATTCTGGCAAGTTATCCTCTGAGAAACTCAGTTTCCTTATCTATAAAATAGGCTAAATAATGTCTATTGCAGTGCAGAGTTTTAAGGATTGAGAGATCTTTATTGCACATAGCACGCACTCAGCATATAGTATCTGCAAGCTGACTTTAGATCAGAGGTGAAAAAAAATCTACCTTACAATATTACTCACATGTCCTACTGTCAGTTGTTTATCAGCTGTTTGAGGGCCTGCTTTGTGCTAGAGGCAGGTATACAAATGTAAAGAAAACAGCAAGGTCTCTGCCCTCAGGAGCTTACGGTACAGTCTCTTGGCTAGATTGACGATAGATAGATGCACCAATAAATATATAGATTACAAATTGTGAAGAGTCCTACAAAGAGAGAGTAAGAGAGAAGACTTTAGCATGGGATGGGGAAGTGATTTTTACATTGAAACCTGAAGGGTGTTGGGACAATGCTTTCAAAGGCTAAAGGAGAGCAGGAAGTGGTGTGAAGAGTTTAGCACTTTGAAGCACTAGAAAAGCCCAGGAGTTTGGTGAGAAGCCAGGGAGGGTCCTGCCAGTCTGGAGAAGTGGGTGAGGCCAGACTGTGAAGAGCCCTCAATACTTGGTAAGTTTGATTTTTCTTAATAAACTTTTGAAGGGTTTATTTAGAATGCATGTGACTAGGGAGCAAGTTTACCGGAGAAAGAGAGGCAGACATAGTTGGATTTCTTTTTTAAAGGCTCCCAGCTAAGTGATTAATGTATTGCAAAGTGACTCAAGTGGACACAGGGAGACCAGTAATACATATGGCAAGGCAGTAGATGACAGTGGCTTTCCATTTGGGCAGATGGAGAGATGTGGATAGATTTGCGGTGTATTTTGGAGATGGAAACCATACGCCTTGTGATAGATTGGAGGTGGTGGAGGAATCATTCATGACTTCTGGCTTTCCTGGTGGTTGGAAAGACTGGGGAAGATTTGGATTGGTAATGAATATCAAAAACTCTTTGAATGTGTTAAGTTTGAGATGCTTGTGAGACATCTAAACGGCTTCTAGTTTACTATTTCAGTGAATAATTACCCAGAAAGCTTCCCTTTCTAAATACAATCAACGATGTTATTTGTAGCCTAGTTCCCCTTGCTTTACAGGGAGAGAACTAAGATGTGGAAAGATTGAGTATCTTGTTCAAAGTCAAGTAATATGTCTCATAAAAATAGGTAAGTGAGTAGCTAGTATAAATATGGGAAGGTACTGGACTCTCATGTTGCATTAGGGATGTAATTGAATACTCCATATTCTCTGACCTTTTATATAAAATAGCAAATACTTTCTTATTAGTTGGGAATTAAGAGTTTGGAAATAATAGAAAATAACCAAAAAGTTAGAAAACTCTGCTTATTGAAAGCTTATGTTACTGCATTTTGTACTAACTTGGTATTAATTCCCTGTGAAAATAGTTTTTCTTAAGAAAAAACATTTTCTTTGAAAGGTACTTCTCTTTGGAGAGTTTGAGAAAGGGTGCCCAGGAAAACCAGAGTAGAATCTTTGAACAAAGCTCAACTTGTTTTTAGTGTTTTAGCATTTTCTTAGTATCCTGTGGAATCCTGTCAGTCTGTGTGTATAAAGACTTCAGGCTTTGAAATCCACTGGACACCCTTCCCCAGCCCAAGAAAAAAAAATCCTTGTTCCCTTATGAGCTGTTTGACCTTGGACAAATTATTGAATCTCTGAGTTTGTTTCTTCTTGTGGTAAGTGATGTGAAGTTTGTTTCTGCCCTGTGCCTAGTTGGTAAGATGGGAAATGTTATTTCTCTTCCTATCCTTGTCAATTTGGAGCTACAAAGGTATTTAATCTGTTCTGGGTTCTGGCCCTTACCAATAAATTGCTGTCTCCATTTTATGTAAGGCAACTAAGGCCCAGAAAGATTGTAATAGAAAAGTACAGGATTCTTATTTCCTAGTGCAGTATTTCTTCTTTCATTGAAATAATTAAGTAAAACTCTATGTTCCCAGGCCTGTTTCTTTGCTACTTCTGATCATCTGCAAAGCTAAGAAGAAAGAAAGAAAAGAGAATAAAGAGATAAAAGAAAGAAAATATTCGCATATAGGACAATATTTAGGTAGTAAGAAGTGAAGAAAATGAAGTTGTAAGTGATCTAGTTATATTATATATTATATACATTTAAATATTTTTAAAATGTTTTAAGCTAAAGACAAAATGAGGTAGTTCAAGAAGGAAATGGGTTTGTTGTGTCTAATTTTTTAAGCTCTTTCTTTGGTTGCATGTTATGAAACTGGTCTCTGTTCTCTTAGATAGGGATTCCTATCTCAAGTTCAAGAACTATTTTTTTCAAATAGGACTATTTCTGCTAAGTAGTAAATATTGCTTAAATAGTGAGAGTATTTTTATTAAATAGTTATTCATTTTAATCTCCTTCTGAATATGTGTGAAAATTTAGTTGTTATAAAAGAAAAATATAGGAATTGATGTATAACTCTTTTTCATGTCTGCAAATAGCTATATATGCTAACTGGTTTATTTGGCAACGTTTGTTAGCAGCATCATAATTTTCCATTTTTTTGTTCTCTTTAGAAATGGACCAATTTTGACAAGATGTAGTGCTGCAGTGTGCCTGATGGGATATGTTCAGTCATGGCATCTGAACTTTGTAAGACGATCTCTGTGGCAAGGCTGGAAAAGCACAAGAATTTGTTCTTAAATTATAGGAATCTGCAGCATTTCCCATTGGAGTTACTAAAAGATGAGGGACTACAGTACTTGGAGAGACTCTACATGAAAAGGAACTCCCTTACAACCTTGGTACAGTATTATGTTGCATTAAAAAAAAAAAGTCATAATGTGGTCCTGACCAAGATATATTTTATATATCTTAAGGTATTGAGACCAAGATTTGTATCCCCTCTTGTTGTATAAACAGGTAATAAAAGTACACATACAGGGGGTTCTCATTACTTGAGAATTCATTATCCAAGTTCTTGCAGTTATGAAGTTTCAAGAGTCGTGTAGGAAAGCAAAATATTCACTAATATACCACTTATAAAATTAGTCCCACACACTACTACATATAAGATAGATAACCAGCAAGGACCTACTGTATAGCACAGGGAATACTACTCAATATTCTGTGATAACCTGTCTAAGAAAAGAATCTGAAGAAGAATGAATACATGTATCAATATACGTACAACTGAATCACTTTGCTATACACCTGAAACTAACACAACATTGTAAATCAACTATGCTCCAATAAAATTTTTTAAAAAATTAGTCCCTATTCAGAAACCCCTCTTCGCTTAGCCTGTGCATCTGTCTGGGCCTGTGCTTTCTTTGTGTGTTAAGATTCTTAGATGATTTATGGATGTTACAGTACCCAACAGACCAGTTAAAAAGTAAAGCAGAGAAAGACCAACAAGGATGACTTTGATTTAGACGTATTTAAAAAGGGAATGATTTGAAGATTAAAATATTAAGACAGGCATTAGGAGGCTTGATGTAGCCTTTGAGTGTTTTGAAAAAACCCCAAAACCAAAAAACCTCCTTTATGATTGCACTGTGAAAATCAGATGGCTTTGAATTGGGCTGTCATCCAATTTGTTGGAAAAATTTTTGCCACAAAAGCCAACATTTGATTCACTGTTTTTATGTTCTAAGAATAAGCACATAGTTATCATTATAACCTAAATTTTATTACATATGAGATTAAAAAAACTAAAATATTTTTCAAGAGAGTGTGCATGTCAAACTTTTTATTCCTGCTGTATCACGATATTTGGTCTCTGTTTTAAATGGATTTTGCTTTATGTGGCCTTTTCTGATTATCACTGAACCTCATTTAAATCTTACACTTTGAATTCTAGTTCTTTTTCACTTTAGATGATTTATGAATTCTTGTTGTTTCTTTGTGAACAGACCCATTTTTCATTCCCTTCTCTGAAAGTATCTGAGTATCTGAAAGTATGCCTTACTGGCTTCATATATATGGAACGTTTTTCTGGAAAAGTTTTAGTTAATCTGTGCAAAATACCTACAATGTGTAGAAAGCATTATAAAATTTGTTTATCTTTGTTGTGTCTGAAAGTAAGTGCAAGTATATCTTTCATTTTTAGTGTTTGACATATTTGTGTATATATTATTTTGCATGCCTAATTAGATTTTTTTAAATTAGATTTTTCACTTTCCAAACTTTAATAATCTGTATATAGTTATATTAACCCTTTTTGCGAGATCATCATTGCATGAAGTGAAACCGTATTTACCTAGTGTTTTTCCGCCCTTTGGAGAAGTGGTGTAAGAAATAATTTGTCAAGGATTACAGCCCACATTTTCTCATGTTTATTGTTGATGTACAAAGAAAAAGTTGTGAGTGGATTACTTCTCAACCATCAGTTATAGTCCACGGGTAGAAGAAATTGACCTTTGCTTATAAATGTTACAATAAACTTTTGGTTTTGTGGCCATTTCTTGGCTGCAGTTTTCTATTTATGAAAATATTTAAGTATCTACTATACAATTTTAACTGATATAATGGCTCCCAAGCATACATTTCAAGTTCATGCTTTGCCACCTTTTTAGTCACTGAAGATTAAATTGTTGCATATGTTTATAATGGTAGGTGTATATATTTTATTTTAATGCTTTCTCTTAGCTGGAACATTTCATTCCTTTGTATCAAAGAGCTTTTTAAACTGTGAAGTACCATACAGATATCGGGATGGTGGGAATGGTAGCAACCATACCATTCCATGACTATACTGAGTATAGGACAGCTTACTTATATCCAGCATAGTCTGAGAATGGCATACTGCACAGGTTTTCAAAGCTGATGAAACAGTACCTGCCCTTGAGTGTTCCAAACTAGTGACTGCAGGCTTTTAGAATGTTTGCTGGTGTTATTGATAAAGTATATTTCCTATAGAAATAATAGAGATTTAGTATGTAAAATTTGACTTAAACTGCAATACTGTCCAAAGGAAAAAAAACATTATTGGAAGCATATACTATCTCAAACACATTATGAGTTAATTGGCCTTTTTTTTTTTTTTTTTAGAAAAGCTTGGGAACCTGCCAATCATTTCCATTTCCACATTGTTTTATTATTTCTTATTAACATTGTTTTATTGTGTTTAAATGTCTTCTCCTCAGCATTCCCCTTCTCCCCTCTTCGTATGAAGCCTCTTGGTGAGGAGTCACTAATGCCCAACTTCTGTCCTTCCTTTTTTCCTTTAAGCTGCTCAGTATTGCCTTATGGTTTATATTTGTAGGATGATTGTATGTCAGATGCTTAGAACTTGGGAAATGCCCATATTAAAATTAAAGCACAGGGAAAAGCCATTTTTATATACAAAAGAATAAACTGTTCATATTTTACATATAAAAATATGTGCCCTTATAGCAACCAACATAAGAAATATATGGAAAGTAGTAGTTTCTCTTTCTATTCCTCCAATTCTGTGCTTTGGAATAACCAGTGTTAATAGTTTGGTTGTGTCCTTCCACTCCTTTGCTTGTGTTTATGTAATTACGTACTCTGTATTTTTTTCCCTTTTTAAACAACAAAAGGGAATCATACTCTACATATTTCTCTGCAGATTTCTCTCTTCACTTCATTCTCATTCCACTAAATTCTAGGCCAAGAAATATATATACATCCTTGTATTTAGGATCAGGTCTCAAAAGTAGGATTGCTGCATCAAAAGGTAGGAACATTTTATATTTTAAAGTACTTTTTAGCAGTATTTCATTTTACAGTATTACCACTTATTTGTATAACTGAAAAGTCTTAAAACTGTTTAAAATATAATGAGTCAATTTATATAAGAATCCAGTTATATAATTAATAGGTGAATAAGAAGTAGTTAGGAAACATTATGATTTTGGTTCCTAACATTTATCTTAGAAAGTGATTTAAAGAACTTTTCTCTAATTATTTTAAATGCAGTTCAAGAATTATTAAGTCTCTGATCTTTGTGGTAGTTTGAAGTTAAAAAGAGAATAGGAGATACAGGTTCTGTATTTGATAGGCATCCACATAGTTGTTGAATGAATAAATAAATGAATATAAAGTAGAAGAGCATAATGTCTATAGTACAGGTATAACAGATGCAGACTGAGAGTCTTTGAGGGCAGGGACTCTGTCTTAAATTCTGTATCCCCAGTGCCTGGCTACTGTCTAACATTGGTAGGACACATAATCTAATTCTGTGTAGCAGGATTGTAAAAGATTTTTTAAGGAAGGTGCTATTTGCATTGACCCTGAAGAATGACTTTGTCAGGAGCCTGGGAGGAAAACTATCATTTATTCATTCAACATGTATTTATTGAGTACTTTCTGTGTATCCAGTACTCTACAAGGCACTGACAATAGATACATCATGGAACAAATTCTTACTCTCATGGAATTTTTGTTTCTTGACATTCCAAGCTGAAGGAAAAAATATGATCTGAGATTCAGTGACAGAAGATTAGGATCAATATTTGTCCAAAGACTTTAGTGACAAAGTGATGGTGACTATGATGGTGACTATGTTAGAAGCTCTGGAGAGTAGAATGCAAGTTTGAGGGGTTAATTGGTGAGAAGGAGATGAAAAAATAGATAACAAGGTAGATGGGTCTTCAGGTTTGGTTTTGATGTGGAAAAGTGGTCATAGCTGGATGGGTCTTGACAAAAAAGGAGAATTTTTTCTTCTTTCTCCTTTTCTCTTTCCTCTTCACCCCTCTTCTCTTTTCTAAGAGGAAAGAGTTGAGCCTGTGTAAATGCTGATGGGAAATCTCCATTAGAGAGGAGTTGAAGATTCAAAAATAAGGAACAATTAAAAGTTCAAGATTCCTAAGAAGGTAGGAAAGGATGGGCTCCAGAGCACAATTGGAGGGAAGGACTTAAGCTGTGACAAAGCGAGAGAGAGGCATGGACATATATACACTACCAAACACAAGGTAGGTAGCTAGTGGGAAGCAGCCACATAGCACAGGGAGATCAGCTTGGTGCTTTGTGACCGCCTGGAGGGGTGGGATAGGGAGGGTGGGAGGGAGGGAGACGCAAGAGGGAAGAGATATGGGAACATATGTATATGTATAACTAATTCACTTTGTTATAAAGCAGAAACTAACACACCATTGTAAAGCAATTATACTCCAATAAAGATGTAAAAAAAAAAAAGACCTTACACGGGGACCACATCTGGGAAAACATCGCGGCACGCTCGTAAGTTACAGGGGGAGAAGAAAAAAAAAAAGAAATAGTATCCCTTCCGCCTTTAACAAGAGAAAGGAAGGATAGGTGCAAAGGAAGATTCAGATTGTGGGGGAGAGAGTTCTTGTCTGGTGACTACCAGGCAAGGCCAGCTGCTTAGGGAGTGAAGATTTGTGGAGATTGCAGGTTTGAAATTATTGTTGCGAAGAGTCACAGCAGTTTGGTTAGAGAAAGGTAGTAGAATCATTCAGCAAGCAGTTGATGGCTAGGCTTATGCTGGGGAACCATCTGCTTGTTTAGGGAGTTTTCTCCTGCAGTTCTCAGATGTCTGAGGTATGAAGAAGTTGGGATGTCGCATTTATGCAGGCTTAGGTTTTTGCCAGTATAGAGGGACTAAGGAGGTTTAGGATTTTGGCAAGAGTGATTAAAATGATGGGACATGGAGTCTGAGGTGGACTGGAGGCAAAGAAAGAAAGGAGTGAGTGAATAGGGAAAATGGAGAGGGTCCAAAGGATCCATTGATGTTGAAAACTTATTATACTGGGCATGATTGAGTAAGCCATCTGGGAGGATGGGATATTGTAGTTGTGGAGAGAAACATCAGTCATGG